TACATGTGATATAACTGTTAATAGAAGTCATCTTGTTTCTATTTAGCTAGAGATGACCTGTCATATATCTAAAGGTCTATAAAGAAAGGTCTGTAAAACACATTTGCCTGCAGAAGAGTTTAACAAAAGATGAAAAAAATCTGCTTGTAGTACTGAATTTCTTTAAAGTTAAAGTAACATTTCATTAGGTGTGTCTAAAATGTTGCTAAGGATTTTTGTTTGTTTTTCAAATAATCATACCTCATGTACAAAGGCAAATCAGTAACTTCTTTAGTTTTGTTTTTTTGTTGGTACTGGGTGGTGCTTCGTTAGAAAGATGTCCTGCCACTTGTGCCACACTGCCAGCCGAACCAATAATTTTTTAAGAAGGTAGAGCCTCATGTTTTAGGTATGCATATTGGAAAAATCTTTCTAATTCTTTCAGAAGCAAATTGGTTACATCAAGGCTTTCGCTTAAAAGAATTTTTTTTAGAAAATGTAGAGGATACATTACAATCAACATTGTATTTGCCATGCAGAATTAGTATATTAACATTTGCCATATTAAAAAAAAAATTGAAAGTCCTTCCCTTCCCACAGATGACCAGTATCTTTAAATTGGTTTATATCTTTCTGTTAACAGCAATGGTGTAGTCTCTGGTCAGAAGATTTCCAAATTTTTTGTGTCCCATGAGGAAGAATACCTGGCAAGACAAGTGGGCATAAATAGAGTTTATTAAAAGTTAGGGAAAGGAATTACAACAGGGGTAATGGTGGGACCATGTTTCTCTTTTCCAGGTACTTTTAAAACTTATGCTAACCTATGGGAAGGGAAGAACCTGGGGATTCTCAACAATAATTGATGAGTGGGGAGGGGCATGTGTGGTCCCTGGGCCAGGTGGGGGTGGTTTGAGTTGTCCTTGAGTTAGGGTATGAATAACCCACAGGCATTTGCAGTTGAAAAGGCTCAGAGAAAGGCAGAAATGTTCAATCTAAAATACAATATTGAGTCATATGTTTTGTAAGTGTCCTGAATTTTCCCTAATTCTACTTCACTTTTGCTGTTTTATGTTAGTACTCATTTATATATCCATTAGCATTGTGTTCATAAAAATAAACCTACTCCGCTTAGTTTTTATGCAGTTTGTGATCTCCCTTTCCACCCAACATTATTCCTGTACACGTTACTTGTTGCTTGTTAAAAATACCTGATTTATTCATTTTCACAGTTCTGTAATATTTCAATGTGACATCAATACTGTAATTTGTCTATCTCTCTTTTGACAGACTTTGCGTTGTCAGGATACTTTGTACAGACTTTTACACAGATATTCATGGGGCTCTGCAGAGCTCACTCAATATTTTGAGCACACAGTGCAGTTTGCCATTAACTCTTGAATACTGGCAATAGGCAGGATCCAAAGGCAGTGTTTGTGCCAGTAGATATTTCTTGCTGAATTTCCTCTGTCTTTACAAGCCCATCTACTGTTTCTGTTCATGGCAAAAAAAAAAACAAAAAAAAAAAAACCTGCTTTTTCTTTATTATTATTTTTAATGGCTCCTATCCTCCTTACCTATTTTTAAAAAAAAAGTTTGGAAAAAAAAAGATGCATTTAAAATCATATGTTACTCAGTTTTTACAGTTTTCCTTTATTTTAACCTGTGGGAAGCTAGGACCTATGCTATTTGGTGTATCTTATTGTAGCAACATATGTACAGAGTCTGTGCATAAATAAAACATAGTTTTGCTTAACATTAGCTATGATTTTATGTCCAATTAATTATATAACCCTTCAGCTGCAGACAGTGAAATATTGATCTTTGTAAAAGATGTACTTATTTTGGGACTATATTTGAAAATTTTTGAGATTAATTAAAAATATTATAATCTAAGTCTAATGCTTTAGGTTCAAATTTATATTTTAATTTTATAATCCATCTTATTTTAACTCAGTTTTTATTTTGGAAGAAATCATGTATTTGTTTGAAGTCATATATTTAAAAGTATATTTAGCTGGAGGAGTGGCTTAAGTGGTATAGTGCCTTCCTAGCAAGCCTAGCAAGCACAAGGCTTAAACCTACGAGTTCAAACCTAGTACTGTCAAAAAAAAAGATAAAAGTATGTTTAAAGAAGTATTATACACTTAAAATTTGGGTTGTGGTGAACTCTTGAAACATTAAAGAAAAACCTTCAATTTATAAAAATTTCTATGTCCCAGCAGCTTGAAGCTTCGTCAGGAACTGCCAAGATTATTAGACTATTAATGTTATTAACCCTTTTAGTGAAAGTATTTCTTTTTGAAATAAAGATTAAATGAATTGTTACATCTGGACTGTGTCTCACAAATCACTAATTTCAGAAAGCTGAAAAATGTTTATGCTGCTGTAACTGCAATATCTTATGTAGGCCCAATGATCTCTTGTTTTAATCATAGATGTTGATTTACTGTAACGAGACTAGATTACATCAAAAATGGAATTAGGATATGATTTATGCTTTCTGTGTTTTTTCTACATAATTAACAAATGTAACTTTTAACATCATTATCAAATTTGGGGAGGAGGTTATTTGTTTGATTTTTACACCTATCTTCTATTTTGAATTCATAGGAGTTTGTAATTGTCTCATAAACCTATTCAGAACTAGTTAGTAAAATATTGTCTTGTTCTGTATTTAGTCTATTTCACATGAAAAATATCCTATATATTCTGGTTTTAAAGTTTCTACCATTTTTAAAATGCAACAATGAATACTTCCCTCAATTTGTAGGACTGACTGGGTTATAGTCAGTCAGTCAGTGAATTGACTGCTGATATACAGTGACTGTTGGGGTTTAAAGTCTTTTTCCTATAGTATGTTAGATTGCCTCTTTGAATGCTATACATAGAGTCCCTGGAACCATTCCTCATCTATGAAAGAAGCATTTTGGTAGGCTCCGTGTTTTTTTGATTTTTTTTTTTTCCCTTCCATGAGTAGCTTCAAACTAGACTGCAGTTGCTGACTTTGAGCCCTTAACTTCTGCATTTGAATGGTACAGCTTGATTGACAAATTTGCCTCAATATGGTCAGATAATTTTATATTTGGGAAAGTATTCCTATTGTGTATTTTATTCCACTGAATCTAGTAGAGTTAAATGTAGTTTGGATTCATAGGGAAGAATTAATGATTGGAAGATAGAGTGTTGGTAAATTATTTATTCTGGCCCCGAGGAAGCTGAAAAGCTGAGTGAAAGACTAATAAATCATTTGTGGTAGTGCTGGTTGTCACTTCCAATTATTTTAGACGGTTTTGTGATAAACTGCAGCACCTGCTAGATATCTGCAGACTCTCCCTTGATGCTGGTGGTGCATCTTGCTTAGTCCATTATCAAAGGCAAGTTTGGGTAAAGTTTATTTAGGTCAGAAAGAAATTAGTCTTTTTAAGTCAGTTGTGTTGCTTTTTTTCCTCATTGTTTTGAATGCTGTGAAAGGATTTCCAGGACATGGTGGGGAACCTGGAATATACATACTACTTTAGCCAGGAGAGGCTGTCTTTATCTTTTGTTAAATTGAATGCTTGAACTCTTTATAATTCTCATACTAATTAAAAACTCCTTCAACTGAGATGATTAGTATGCTAAAGATCAGGTCCTCTTTTTAGTATCATTTAGTAGAGAACCAGCCACTGCTGCTGCTTAATCAGGCTCACTTAATTCTTTTATTTTTGGTAGTGAAAGTTTGAAACTAACAGCTCAAAAAGGTACCTGTTTGTACTGGTTACAGTTTAACTGCTGAGATTCTTGGATGGCAAAAAAGAAAAGTACAACCCGCACTGGTCTGGTTCTGCTGGTCAGGAAACAAGGCCACTTTATATTACTTTTTTTTCCTGTTTTTGCAACTGGGGTTTGAACTCAGGGCTTCACACCTAATAGTCAGATACTCTACCACTTGATCCATGTCACCACCCTGAAACAAGGCTACTTTAAAACTCCTTGGGAGGTTAATTATGAACACCATGCTTTATCCGTAGAATTAATTGTTCTGTTTCTATCCGAGTTTGTGTTCAAGCCCAGGATACGAGGTTTGTTTCTACATGTTCTAGTAACTTGTTTTTGGGTTTTTTTTCTTTATTTATTGTTTATTTTTTTAATTGTTTTTACATTTATTCATATGTTTATACATTGTTTGGGCCACCTCTCCCCTGAGCTCCCTCCCCTCCCCTCTTTGCTTCCAGGCAGAATCTGTTCTGCTCTTGTGTTCTCCAGTTTTGTTGAAGAGAAAACATATATGGAGATTCCTAGCATTGCTTCCATGCACATGTGTATTACAACCCAAATTGGTTCGTCTCTACCTGACCTTTTCACTGCTTCCTGGTCACCTTTCCATAGTGGCCTCTGCCATTTTAAAATTACTGAATTTGTTACTGTACATCAACCACATTCAAGTGTTAGGTTTCCTTCCCCTTACCTGTTTCTCCCATGCACATCCCAGTAACTTGTTTTCACAGAGATTTTCAGCTTTAACATAAAAATATGGGTTAGTTGAGAGGACCTTAATTCTATAAGTAATAATGTTAGTAAGTAGTCTTGTATTCATTCAGTCCCAGTTTTACTCACTAACTTACTTCTCATCAAACATTTATTGATGCTCATGTATGCTAGCCCTCTGGGAACAACTACTACTACTTGTAACAAGTTTGTTTTTTGTTTTTTTTTTTTTTTTTTGTTAAAGATGTTAGTATGTGCTTTGTACTATTCTAAGCATTTTATATGTATAATACAACAGCACAATATTGGTATTTATATTGTTATCCTCTTTTTCACAATGGAGTGATAGGGCAATAATGATTTTGTTTTTAGAGTATAGAAGGAAGGAAATGTTTATGGTAAGTCATAGTTAAGGAGGTTTCAAAATTGCAATCTAAGTAGTTTAATAATAACTCGTTGATTGAACATTTAATTTTAGGTTTGGTACTTTGTATATTGTTTTAACTTTTTACCTGGGAACAAAAATGATTATTATCTTCTTTGTCATAATGAAGAAATTGAAGCTTAAAGAGAGATCAAACAACTTGCCTGAGGTTGTGCAGCTTGATACAGGAGCTGGAATTTGAGTCAAGATCTGATTGCCTTCCTACTTCAGTTTACAAACCTTAGTCTCTATGGAACTGGGTAAGCAACTGAAAGTGGGGAGGAATTGGGTTATTATGAAAGTGTATAACTGGTGAATTATTTGGAAGTGGGCTCAGAATTGGGGGATCTAATGATTTTTTTAATGAAGTTAAAAATGAATTTTTATGTGAAGTGCCCGGTTTTTAAAATCTTGATGCCAGGTGCTGGTGGTTCACACCTATAATCCTAGCTACTCAGGAGGCAGAGATCAGTAGGATCACAGTTTGAAGCTAGCCCTGGCAAATAGTTCACGAGGCCCTATCTGGAAAAAACCCTTCACAAAAGGCTGGTGGAGTGGCTCAAGGTGTAGGCCCTGAGTTCAAACTCCAGCACCACAAAAAAAAGAAAAGAAAGTCTTGACAGTATATTCAGGGTGAATTATTTGCCCACTGGCAATGACTTATGGATGCCAGTTTGAGCCTTTGCATATTGCCTTTCTTTAGGGAGATTTTTAGGCTAAATGAAGTGTATTTATTATTTTTATAATACCAGGTAGCTCATTATGTAACTCAGTTGAACTTGGATTTCAGAATACTACTAATTCAAGTATAGTCTATAGCATAGCATAAAAGTCAAACTAGAATTTTGAAAATCTAAGCCGGTATTAAATAATGTAAATGTTTTGAAGCCCCCTTCCCCCAGTGTTGTGGCTTTGGTGACAAATCCTTTTAATTTTCTTCTTTTCTCACTCATATATATATTCATTTCCCAGTGCTCTGTATCACAGAGAGATTTAAGGTAAATACAGCTTTTTAATTGAAATGCCCTGATGGTAACAGGCAGACTTAAATAATATGTAGAATGTTGTGACTTTTAATAGCACTTAATACAAAGATTGATGTATTCATGAATAGGAAACTGCTTGAAATAAGAGTCAGTGGTTGTGTCTGTCTATTTTTTTTTGGTATATGGTTTAACTAAATGCTTTATCTTAAAAAACAAATAAAATGTCTCTGGAGAGAAGTTTAGTGTCATTTCATAAATGTTTAGGAAAAACATTAAGACTAATCAGTTGTTAGAGGATTTTTCCACTAACTTAGACAAGAGACCTAGTCTAATAATGTCATTATTTTGCAGTTATTCAATGTAATTTTTCTGAGTGCGTTTTTAAATCCTGCTTTACAATGAAAGCCATTTCTTCCCCCAATCAACAGTCCTTAAAAAAAAAAAAGAAAGAAAGAAGAGCTTGCTGTGTGCCAGTGGCTCACTCTTGTGATTCTAGCTACTTGGGAGGCTGAGATCAGGAAGATCGTGGTTGGAGGCCAGTCCGGGCAAAGACTTTCTTGAGACCCTGTCTACAAAATAGCCATAGCAAAAAATGGGCTGGAGGTATGGTTCAAGTGGTAGATTGCTGCTTTGCAAGTGTGAAGCCCTGAATTTAAACCCTAGTCCCACCAAAAAATAAAATTTAAAAAAAGGGACATGATACATTATGAGTTAATAGATGTAGATGCTTTATATATTACCTAATATATAAATTACTTAAAATTACTGACTTAATTTTTGTTATAAATTAGAAGTTTTTGACCTATAACATTTCATGTAGTATTCAGTCATCTAAAGCATGATTTTTAAAAATTATTATAAAAATTTTTGCATTGTCTTTTTTTTGTCATAACTATATGCTCATTACAAACACATTAAAAGATAAAAAAAAAAAACTACTTATAGTCTCACTACAGAGAAACAACCAGCAAATCCCTTCCCTTTGTATTTTTTTCATTTCACTTTCCTTGGCATTTTTATATTTTTTTTGCAAAATATTCATGGTTTAGTAATGTTTTTTTTTTATGGTACTGGGGCTTGAACTCAGGGCCTATACCTTGAGCCACTCCATCAGCACTTTCTTGTGATGGGTTTTTTTTGAGATAGGGTCTTGATTGCCCGGACTGGCTTTGAACCATGAACCTCCTGATCTCTGCCTCCTGAGTAGGTAGGATTAAAGGCCTGAGCCACTGGCACCCAGTTTAGAGTTGCTTTTAATATTTGATAGAGTTCCAAGTGCATGTCCTTCACAAAGCTTCTTGTGTATTAGCCACAAGTAAATTCTCTTTTATTTACTTAATTCCAGGTAAATGTACTATGATAGTTTATTTTTGCTTATATACATCTTACCCCCAATTTCTTGAGGACAGACACTATCTTGTATTCATTTTTATATTTTTGTAATATCCACTGGCTGTTGAGTGAATAAATGAAAGTAGATCTTAAATTCAGATTCTGTGTCTGCCCCTTGAAATAGCAAAATGGCAGCAAATACATCAAGATAATTTTTATAGATTTAATGGGCTATACAGGTTGGGGTTTTGTGTAGATATTATCATACTAAGAAAGTACTGAAGTTTGTGGATCTGATAATTCTTAGGAGATCTAAAGATGTAACGGTCCCCTACATTATAGTTTAGTAACAGAGATTTACTATGATCAAGTTTTCTAATTTGAAGGATGAATTTTACTAAATATGTATTGACATACAATACTTCAGTTTTAAAGCACTGCAGAAGAAGCATTTATAACTAAATGGACCCTGGGAAATCTGAAGTAGCAAAATTGTTTTACAAATGGTGGTGCTAGTATGTTACCGTGTAGATAAAACGTAATTTAGAATGTGCTGCTCGCAGTAGGTGGGTTCCTAGAAGTTAACTTCTAAACTTTTCCTTGTCAGTAGGAAAATGAACTTTTGGGAGATGAATACTTTGATCAAGGTCATTCATTTCATGATAATTACTAATGTGTGTCCATCAGTATTTTTGTATGAGAAAATGAAATGAAATGCATAGGGAATGGTTGGAAATTTTGGAGTATATACTTTAGGAAAGTTATTACAAAATAAAATCACCATGATTGTCCATATTAGGAAATAAAAGTTTTACATTCCTTAAATAATTTATACTTTGAAGAGAAAGACTTAGAAAACATAATGCTTTTAAAACGTGGTAATGCAAAAATGATGATACTGAATAGATTCTACTCAGCCTTGTTTCTAGGAACACTTTGACTATATAATTAGAAGGTGCCTTTGGATAAGCTTTATGGAGACTTTTCAAGTTGTAAGAAAATTTCAGCTGGAGTGTCTAAAGGGTCACTTAAAAAAAAACCCTCTATATTAAAATGTGTCCAAGCTTTAAAGAAAAGATCTTGGAGTTTGCAGATGATCCTAAAATTGGCGCGAGGGGAAATAATGAGGAACAATGCAATCAGATTCAAAAAGATTTGGATTGTTTAGGTGATTGGGCCAGCAGATGGCAAATGCAGTTCAGTGTAGACAAATGTAAAATAATTATCTTAGGAACAAAGAACCAATCATACAGCACACTGATCAGGAAAAAATTTGTGAGTTATTGTAGGAAAACCATTGAAACAGTTAACCCGGTGCACAGCTGCAGCAAAAAAGGCAAGCAAGAAACCAAATTAGCAGACGGATAGAATATAAAGCAAGAGGCAATACTTATAGTGTATTAAGAAACTTCCTAGACCCCATCCAAATTACTCGTATAGTATTGGTTGATAGAACCACTTTAGGAAGAGTAAATTTTTGTCTTGTAAATAGAGTAGAAATTATACCAAGCAAATCTAATAAATAATATTAGGAAGTGAACACTTTTTAAGAACTTCCAGTTTGCAGACTTTTGTAGACATGAGCAAGACACTGAATCAAATAAAGGTATTTCAGGTCTGTTCAATGAAGACATTATGGTTTCCACTATCTAAGCTTTACCAACCCTCTTTCTTGTTAGTAAGTGGAGGTGAGGTTCCTCTTACCTCTCAGGGCTAAAGAAGCCTACAGCTGGCATGAGGTCCTTCTGTACCTTGAGAGCTGTACCTTGGCAGCTAGCGGGAACAAAGTTACCATTCCAAAGAGTTGCAGATGAGATACTCCTTTCTAGCCTGACTCTTGGTGCGGTAACATAAGTTGCAAGCTTCATTCAAGGCTATTGAGGCAGGAATTTTTCTCTGATTTGTTATCCTTGGTTCCTGAACAAGTCTGATTCTCCAACCTTGATTCATTTTTTTTTTTTGAGCTATCTAGTACCATGTCATTTTGATTTATGCTCACCAGAATATATGCCTCTTGTTTAAGATCCTTAAGTGGTATAGGTGTAGGGTCTATTATTTTAGCTTTGGCCATGGCATTTTTTTTTTTTTTGTCTTACAGTGTGTTTACATTGTTTGGAGTGGTGTCTTATTATAAATCATTTTTTGGATAAGAAGAAAGCTTAAATGCATCTCTCTCTCTCTGAAGCAATTGTTATGTACCAATACCATCAGCAATTATAGTTCTCTTGAAAACCTTAACTATCCAAACAATTAAAGAGTGTCACTGTTAAAGATAACATTTGATATCTAACATGTCTAAACAGTTATTTACATTTCTTTATACATTATATATGTGTCTATAAATATAATTTTCTCATTTTATTTTGGAAGAAACTTTTATTTCTCACATTGCCTGATTTCCTTTCATGTTAGATGAGTAATAAAATCAAGGAATACTGTCTCAGGATATCTTAATTCCTCCATCACTACTTTGGTATTACTGTTGATTATTGAATATTTATTCAATCAAGTTTTTGAAAAAACAACATTTCTGAATTAGTAATTATAGGTTCTGTTTTAAATTTGTTGTGAGTTGTTTGGTTAATATGTAGAATTGATATTTTTCCACCTTAACAATGTTTTAAATAGTGGTTTTCTATTTATCGCCTCACATTGACTGACTTTAGTCATATTCTTCAGTATACAAAGGTGTGAAGTATAACCAAATACAGAGTGAAATGAGAAGGAACAGAAGTTTATTTTGAGATATACGACTATTCCCTGGGAAAAAGTATAACCATATAAAGAGTAAAATGAGAAGAAAAAAAGGTTCATTTTGGGGAGCAGTATACAGAGCTATTCCCTGGGAAAAATCTGAAATAAAATTGTCTTTGAGACCTTTTCATCATTATTCACAGTGAAATGGAAGTCTGTCATTAGACAGGTATGCTTCAGCCTATTTC